GGCGCCCAAGTCAGATGCCATGGATGTCGCCCAGGACCCGGACCAAAACCATCCCTCAGAGGACACCACATAACCATCCCCCCACCGATCCGAGCAAAATATCGTCAATAACATCAGCAGACGCAATGGATGACAATCCCCTACCGCCCCTCTTTGCATCGGGTGCGAGGGGGGGGGGTCTATTCTAGGGGGAGGTGAGGGGCGGGATAGATATTAGCGTAGTTCCCAACCACCAGCAAACCGTTTCCTACGCTGGGCTGCTTGGCTGCTTGGCTGGCTGGTTGGTTGGTTGGTTGGTTGGTTTTATTTGCATCCAGGGAAAAGGAAACAGAGAGCAGAAGGTCCGTCGTTTTCCCCACGCGAAACTGGGTCGATTTTTCTCGCGCATTGGAACCTGAATACTGTTCTTCGTTTTCAGAAAAATGTTGGCGTGGGAGGGGGGCGCGCGTTGAGCTTGCTAGGTGTTCTTATTAAAAAAAAAAAAAAAAAAAAAAAAAAAAAAAAAAAAAGAATAGAATGTCGGTGTTCTCCCGCTACGTTTTTTTCTCTCCTTCCGTGGAGTGTAGGGTGATGCAAGCTTTCGCTGTTTGATTGTGACTATAACTATGTCTTCCGTCTCGACCGCAACTTCCCGGGCGAAGTCGCGGGGGTTTGCTCCTGGGAGTATATAAATATATGAATATATATATATATATATATATATACATGTGTGAGAGTGTGTCAGTACGAAAAGCAAGATAAAACCACATCTTCTTTGCCTGAATCACAACAAAGAACCATTTGTTTTAGGGAGGAATCCTTTGCTCTCGGCAGAAAGGACTTGAGCCGATGATTTCCTGTCACCCACGGGCCCCACTAATTGCCTAGAAACCTCATCTAGGAGTTCTCCGATTTGCGCGGGGGGTGGCCCCGGATTTTGCGGATATCACAAACGCTCTAGACATGGGTGAAGTGAAGGCACGCTACAGCCTTTCATTTGTTCTTCTTTTTATTCTTTTGTCGGGGAATTAGAACACGGAGACGGAATGGGGAGCACATGCTTTGCTTGTAAGTACATGTACAGTACTTTACATTTCATTTTATATGAAATAATTTTGCCTTGACGACTTGGGCATTTTAGATAACTAGTTTCTCGCATCCTGTAAGAATCTCTATAATACTGAATGGATGCTTATGCTGCTGCTATTCACCTTTTTGCAATATTGACTTTGAGCCATTGCTTTTGACCTTCGAAGAGCATGGAGTCAAGAGAATTGAATCGTTTTGTTTTTTTAACGCTCACCGTTACCGAGGGGTTATTGTCGGTAGCTGGTATTTAATCTGTATGTGTGAGACCTGCAGGTCTTGGCTTATTAATCCTTCCACCATATAACTTCCCACTTAGCCATCCTTACAACTACCCACGAACGTAGGGGTACATTTGAATTTTCCACTTTTCCAACTGTTTTTCGTATAATTTTAACCCTCCAACCCGTTCAATATCATCGCACGCCCTCTGCGATCTCTCTACGTGTGTGTACTGCACAGGTTGAGTGGTCATGGAGCCCTCAACGCCCTCCCGTCCGCCCAAGGACATCGAAACGGCCTACACCAGGCCACTGGAGCCGGAGTCACCGGCCAATTTTGTCACTGGAAAGGCTGGCAAGAGGCAGAGGAAGACTGTCACAATGCCTCCCCCAGTCCTCAAAGGAGCCAGCGACAGCATCCCCACGGCCACCTCTCGGCTGCAGAAGCAGTTTGAGGAGGCTCAGCAGCAACAGAACCTGCAGCAGAAGGCTCTCATCAGATTGGCAAAGACTCTGGACAGCTGGGTTGAGGAGGAGAAGCAGTCAGTCAGTTAGAACTTTGCCTGAATCTTCTGTGAGAGGTTTGTCAAGTATGTGACAGTAGATCTGAGTGCAGCATCAATTCTGAGAGAGGGTGCTGCCCCGGATACTCATCCGCAGCCAAATGCAGCAAAGACAGCTGCGAGGGAGCCGACTACCTGGGCGGGTGTTGCTCAGAGGGGGAAAACTCTGCCCTCCCTGGGGTTGCCCCTGCCAAGACTGCGGCTTCCTCGGCAGGCAGGGCTAGTGGGGCTAGCCTGCAGCCCAAAAGCGCCAGTCAGCCAGGGGGCCCCACAGGGGGCACAAAACCGCAGGAGGACCCACGAGTCCTCGTCACCCTCCAGCCAGAGATGTGCGGCAGGCAATCGTTGCAAACATTCAGGGGGTGGTGGATGTGGCCAATGTGCCGAAGGTGGAGCCCACCAGGACAGGTTGGGCGATCACACCAAGCGACAGAGGCATACGCGACGCTCTGACCACTGAGAAGGCAGTGGCTACTCTCTGTGAAGTCCTTGGCGCCACGGAGATCCGGCTACCAGAGCGGTGGTACAATTATGCTGTCCCAGGGGTCCCAGAATCTGTCCAGGACTGGGAAGGGGCAAGAATCCCCACAGACAAGATGATTGAGGGAGAGGTTCTGGCTCAGGCAAAGGTAAAGCCAGTGAGCTGTCGACCCTCGCGTCATGGGGTGAACCCCAAGACAGGGAAGATTACATGGATTGTCTCCTTCCTTGCCCCGGTAAAAGGCTTCTCACTCTTCAATGCCAGTGAGAGGGCCAGGATGATTGAGAAAAGGCCTTTGGCAGTGAGACATAACCCAGGATGCCAGGGGTTCTGCCACCCACCAAAGTGTGCGCGACTGGCAAGATGCTCCAACTGCAGTGAGCCCACAAGCCAGCGTGAGGGGCCAACAGGCGCGGAGTGCAAGAGAGCGCC